AACTACTACTTACTACTTGTACTACTATTCCTACTTCGTGGTTTTTCACTTATCGCGGGTCTTCAGGGAACGGATCCCCCGCGATAAACGAGGAAGTACTGTACATTTAAAAATTAATTTTTTACTTCCGTACCTAGAAAGGCAGGGTTTAATCACCGTAATTAAACTTGGACACCCACAAAAAATAAATAAAAAAAACAAATAAAAAACAACATACCGGGGTGGTTGAGTTTAAACATTAGCTGTAAATATCCATTTTATCGTTTGACCATGAATGCTGTTTAAAAGGGTACGTCTTTTATTTTTCTTGGCTGAAATAAATGCATTTGTCATTTGGTTCTTAATTTCCTCATAAAGCTGCCACTTATCAAAGCAGTGTTTCAACCAATGGTTTTTACATCTAAAGTTACACGTTTCCAAAACCTGCATCCTAATAAAAGTTAGAATTTAAACAAAACACCAAAATTTGTATTGTGTATTGATGTTCTATGCTCGAACTTTGAAACATATTTCATAAAAATTGATGTAAATCATATAAACGTAAATTGAAATCAACAATTTTGAATCAATGATAACAAATGACTACCGGAGTGAGTTTATCTTTTTAGTTTTTACCTGTTTGTACAGCCATCCTCGGACCACTACTGGCACATTGGGATTCCTTTTGATGGATTGCTCTCTCTTTCCAAAGCTGTGAACCTTACCACTGGACCGAGAAGACTGCAAACACACACACAAGCAAATAGAGATGGCTTCTATAGAAATACTGATTATTGGGAGCAAAAGCCAGATAGTGCAACAAAGGCACCCTTCATACTGCATGACGACCATTGTTACACTTTTCATTCATACATTCATTCATTCAACCTTTATTTATACAGGTTAGTCTCATTGAGTCACGAGGATTCATTTACAAGAGAGACCCGTTTTATACAAACACTTAGAGTACAGACAACAATAAACAACAACAAAATGCAATTAAAATAAAAGCATTGTGATAAAACGATAAAATCAAGGTGCATTATAAAACAAGGTGAAATACTAAAAAGAAGAACACATTTGCTTTGATGTTTCTATTGACATTATCAAATCTTTAAAATCCCTTAAGGACATCAAGTGGACAGCTTCAGTTCTTGTTGCAAGGTGTTCCAGGTTTCAGGAGCAGAGTAGGAAAAGGTCTTTTTGTAGAGTTCAGTTCGCACTGAGGGAACGCTGCAGGTAATGATGGCCTGACAGCGCACGCTGTAACTGCACTGACGACGTGACATGTGTGAGGAGATATATGAAGGCAGCAGACCAAGAAGTGATTTATAGATGAAGATGTACCAGTGTGAGAGCCTACGTGTAGATGATGATGACCAACTGACCAATGAGCACAGAGCGCAGTGGTGGGTCTGGAAGTTACAATCAGTTATGAATCTTAGCGCGCCATGGTAGACAGCATCTAACATCTGCAAGCAGCTGGCAGGGGCATTCATGTAAATAATGTCACCATAGTCAATAGCCGGTAGAAAAGTAGCAGCTACAAGTAATTTCCTAGCATTCAGTTAAGAAATATATTTTCTGAAAAAGAAACCCAGTTTTAAGTTCAGTTTACTTGTCCAATTTTCGAGATGTGGTTTAAAAGAAAGATGTGCGTCAACTAAAATTCCCAAGTATTTGTAAGAATCTACAAACGCAATAGGAACATCATGCATGGATGAGATGGGAGGAAGAGTTGCTGACACCAACTTTCTGTTTGAAAACAACAAACGTTCATGAACTACACAACCCATTAGAGCATGGCTAGATTACAGTCAATCTAGAAAACCTCCAGTGTGAAGGCAGTCAAGACAAATGCTATGTCTTTGGTACTTTGATTTCTTTTTCCTGCTACTTTCCATGTACTCAAGATGTTCTGCTGCATCTTTCAGGAAGCTGGAAGCTCTTTCTTACCATCCATGCTACATCACTACTAAGTTCTTCCTAACATATTTCTATAAACATCTATGATTGCACCACATCTGCAGCCATGTGTTAGATCACGTCATGCTAACACAACACTGACGGTATAATGGGGTCATAGTCAAACGATGAGGCTAGCACGGCCAGTCTTGTTTCAAATTCCCATTGACCAAGCCCCACCGATGCTGCCACCATGCTCCCTCTGCTGTACACAGAGCCCTGAAAAGTTGCCAGCACAATGCTTGTTAGGGTTTGTACTTTAAACCCTCTGTGTTCTATCTCACTACCACACATTAAGGAGCTTATTGTGTTCACGACACCAACACTGCAAAAACCATCCTAACTGAGTTTTTAATGTTGTAGTGTGCTTATACTGTGTGATGTGGGGTTTGAAGACACTCACACTGTGTGATCGCACCCCCACTTTGAACATGTGAATTACATATGTATGTGCAGACATTAACTTCGAAAGGAGAGTTTCATTTGTTCTCAGGTTCATTTCTAGTTTGCTCATATGCAAAGTTCTACAAAGAATTGCTGCCTTTTAACACTATCTGTTGGGCAAACTAAACTTGTTCTGTTTGTCTGACAGAAACCACAGCAGTCAAGTATATTTTAATAAATAATGTCTTCTCTGGGCATTAAATGTTTGGTTAATAAGGCTTAGATTAAATGGGTGACAGCAGTCTGGGTCACACAATGGCTTATATTTGGAAATAGGCTGCTTGCACCTCATCAGAGCACTCGATCTTACTTAAAGCAGTGCTGAACAGGCCTTCGCCTGCCCCATCATTATCTCCTTTTTTTAACTACCTCTCATTTTCTACCCCAGTTGTTACCTCATTACAGCCATTATATGATGGGAGACAATTTTCTACCTGATTTCAGTGACAGTGACAGCCGACGTTGCTATACCATTTGTCAGGTTAAACAGCCTCTGTTGATTGGCAAATGAGAGTAATGAAAAGCGTGCTTGTGATCTAGAGGTCAAAGCTTTTGCTGCCAGGTTGGATCTGTATAAAAAGGTCTGGACGCTGAACCCACACACCTAAAAGAGTTACTACCTTTCAGAGCAAGTCACTGTCTGCAGAGAACACTGTGGTTATCCATCTTTGTTGTTAGAAGCTATAAAAACTAATGAACCCAGGGTTTTTTGTTAAGAAGAAAAAATAAAAAGAAAGTAAGTGACTTTACTAAGCAAGGGGAAACTTTGTACATTGCAAAACTACTTCTACCACTTCTTCTTTGCCATCTTCTTCTTTTTCAGGGGTCGCCACAGCGAATCATCCTTCTCCATCTCACTCCGTCCTCACTCCAACCTCCATGTCCTCTTTAACTGCATCCATGTATCTCCTCTTTGTATTTTTCCTGGTAGCTGCATTTCTAACATCCTTCTACCAGTATACCCACTGTCCCTCCTCTAGACATGTCCAAACCATCTCAGTGTGTCCTCTCTAACTTTATCTCCCAGTCCTTCAACCTGTGCTGTACCTCTGATGATCTCATTGCTAATCTCCATCCTTGTCACTCATAAGAAGAACCTCAACATCTTCATTTCTGCCACTTCCAGTTCTGTCTCCTGTCTTTTTGTCCGTGTCTCTGTCTCCAGATCATACAACATAGCTGGTCTCACCACTGTCTTGTAAACTTTATCTTTGACATTTGATGACACCCTTTTGTCGCAAATCACTCCTGAAACTTTTCTCCATCCACTCCATCCTGTATGGACTCTCTTTTTCACCTTTTTACCACAGTCCCCATTTTCCTGAACATAGTCCCCAAGAACTCGAAGTCCCGCACATTTGTGACCTCTGCTCCTTGTAGCCTCACTGTTCCACCCTCTCATTCACACACATAAACTCTACCTTTTTTCAAGCTGCAGTGTAAATAATAGTGAGAAACTGTCGATAGGCATCAGATACGGGTGTGGTTTTCTCCTTAAAGATTGTTCAGTTAAAGATAGTTGTAATTTGGCCTGGATTAATACTTTACTGTTGTCAATGAGTAATTAAGCACCTTGGTTACATCTGCTGTTTTTAAATGTGCTTTATGAATAAATTTGACTTGATTTCACTAATTGTCACTGGTTCAAAGCAGCTTTAAAATAATTCAAAACTCTAAATAAATACAACATGTTTACAAGCAGGAGGCATACGTCCGATGAATACGTCCGCTAAATCAAACAAAAGGATCCCTCAGACACATTGTTAGTCTGTTTGTTCCTGCTGATCCCTTTAAGTATTAAGGAAAATTGTAATGCCATTTATAAATAGATAAATCATTTTGGTTTGAGTAGAATAATAGTAATAAAAACGCAATGTCTCGCCAGTGGTTGAACCCCTGGCTTCTGGGAATAAGACAGAATCACTTAACGCTACACTACAGAAACCACGTTATGAGCAACTCTTCACTGAAACCCAGTTATTCATACTAGCTCCACCCGTCTGGTCTTCAGGCAAGCTACTGACATGTTAGGGGTACAATAAACCAAACCATTGACAGCCTGACAGGAAGAGGATATCGATTTTTGAGGCATAAATTAACCATTTTACCAATGGAAATGGTGGATATGCTTTATTTCCTCCTATTGCCTAAAAGTATAGTCCCCTCAAATGATTTATTGGGGGGAAAACAAACTTTGTACTTCCAAACTGGTGGTTCTGACCTCCAGTGGATTTCTGTGTTTTGCTATGGAAAAAGGGCAAAAAAGTATTATCTTATCTTTGATGTTTAAATGCTTAACATCTAAATACTTGATCACTTTAACCTCATCTAAGCTGTTGCAGTTGTATACACTTATCGTGATTATCAAGGGTAATTAGGTGAGCACAAAATGCATAAATCTTTGTCTCTGGAAATTTAAATATACATTATGTTTTGGAATGTACATGAAAGAAGAGACATGGATGTCAGCCGTAGTAAGTTAGAATCTGCCACAAAGCCGCTACCGTGCCACACGCATGCAGAAGCACAGAACACCCTCCACGACACGCCTGCAGAGGGAGGTCAGGATTGAGCTCCTCAGCCCTGTTCAGCCATTTGAGGAAGTAAAGACGCTGGTGAGTCTTCCAAGTCAAGCTGGGAGTGTTGGTGCACTTCCAGATTATGCGAGTCACAACAAAAGCCCGCCCACCCACTGTGGAATCTCATTACACCAAATTTTTATACCTCCGAAAATCAACTTCCCTTCACCAGTACTGCATACTCACAACTACATAAAAAGTCTCACAGGCACAAACATCGTCAGGCACCCCCACCCCCAACTTATACAAGTAAACTTTTGGTGTTATAGCTGAATATGTATGAACGTCTAACAACAGCACAGCTGGAGAACGGCAAACAAGCTAATTAGAGAAAGACTGGTTGGCCAAGCATGATGACAAGACGAATCCATGATTGTCATGCTGAACTGTAAATATCCAGTATGCATATGCAATGTGTGTATGTGTGGTAGTCTATTTTTAGGCTGAGGGTAATTTTGTGGAACAGGCAGTGGTCCCGGCTGCACAACAGCACTCTGTCTTGTAGGTGAGTGACTGAAAGTCAAAGCAGCTCCTTATTATGTGAGCGGCGCACAATTAGACAGCATTAAAGCAAAGAGAGTCCATCCCCAGACCAGAGGGCTGCCACTTCGCGTCCCTTGACAGATAAGAATTGTCCAGAAGGGTAAAGTAATTGAACAAGATTAATGCTGTCCACTCCCTTTAGGTATCTGGTTGTGATGCACTTACATTAGTGAACACCTAATCGTAGTTTCTTTAAGTGACTTTAATCAGGGGATTGAGAGCAGGTTCCAAGAGTGAGTCTGGGTTCCTTTATTTTGATAAAGCGATTGACCTGCTAAATGATAAAAAATAAATAAAAAAGGGCTACTTAAGCACTTGCTATAGGAGTTTTACTAAAAAGAACATGCAGGTATGCTTTAGAGTTTTTATTTTCAGCTTTTTAAATTAAATAGTTTAATGTCTTTGCATAATTTTGAAGCAAAAAAATTTTTGCTCTTAACTGTAAGTCTGAAAAGGTAAGTGATATAAAGTCCCAGACTAGTTAAACTTCTCAGAAATTTGTCTAAAGAAGGTGCTAAATGATTCCATCTGCTGCTAGGATAGCATTGGGTATAAAAAGCAGTAGAAAAAAAATACAAGATTCCAAAAACTCTTTCAGTTCAAAGGTCAAACTTTTGTTTTGTGCACCATAAACATCTACTTCGATTTTTTTGAGCAACCTGAAACAAAACAAAAAAAAAACTAATAAAGTTTTTACTGGATAAAAATTAAAACAAAGTAGTTAAGATTTTGGCATGCAGGTCTGATACTAAGGGGGCCCTCAGCAAGATTTATACACTGCTCAGTTCATACCACGAGACCAGTTTGGACTCTCTTAAACTGAAATGGGAAACAGACTTGGAGGAATCCATATCAGACTCAATCTGGCGAAAGATCATTAAGAATATTTATTCATTCTCAATCTACCTGAGACGCTGTAATTCAATTCAAGGTGGTGCACCGGCTGCACTGATCCAAAGACAAGTTGTCCAAGATCAAAGCCAACCTGGACCCCGCATATAATCATTGTAAACAAACTACAAAGCTACATTCCTGCATACATTCTGGACCTGTGCCAAACGGCAGACCTTTTGGCAATATATTTTTGATACTTCCTCTGGGATATGTGGAAAAACTACACCCATCACCATTTATCTCACTGTTTGGGGTGGTCCCTGTGGATACATCCTTCAGCAAGTATAAGAAGGATGTGATTGCTTTTGGCTCTCTTCTGGCCAGAAGACTGGCTCTGTGCTACTGGAAGGATCCACACATCCTTATTTAGGGAGCCTATTGAAATCTCACTGTCAGCAAGTTAAACCATCCTGCTGCTTTTGGGTCAGAATGAGCCCGTTTTAAAACTGAGGCCTCAAGGCCTTGTGGGTCATTTTGATAACAGGACGGTTATGATTATCAAGATAATTTGAAGCTCGTAAAAATATTTATAGTGATTTTGAAATTTGATGCTCTCCGTACAAAATATTTTCAGAAGGTTAAGCTAAATAGATAAATGTATACTATATTTAAAATTAATTCTTTCCAAAATAATAAAAAAACTAAAATTATGGATTAATAATTAATAGATAAATCTATTTACTGACGTCAATCAACAGTAACTTTATCGTTGTTTAACAAGCCTGAGGCTCACCAGTCGCTCTGACTTTTAGTTTTAAACTCTAGAAGCAGCCGCTAAAAAGCCGAGTTATTTTTAGACATTAGGACATGCGCCGTAATTCATGACATGAAACAGGGACACCGCAGAAACTCTGAAATGACACTCATTTGGATAAATCCCAATGACACTGCCAGGCTGGTTAAGAAAACAACATCGCTAAACATGCATCAAGAAACCGAGAAGACAAGAGCTGAAAAGGGAATTGTGACACATTAGTCTCAGGGGGGAAAGGGTAATCTTTGTCTCAGTGCACCCTCTGATGTTTTGTCAGAGGCAGAGCGGATGTGACTTATTCAAACTGTGGATTCATTTCATGTTGGTGTAAAAGGAGAAACCCAGTGATTCATCTTTTCTCTGAGACAAGCCTGTTCTTAAGTGCTGTTCTTGTCACTATGAGAATTCTGAGTTATTTTGCTGATATTTGATGACAGCAGTGACCAGCCAGAGGACCTGGGACGGCTGTAGGCCACAAAAAGCTTGGAAAACGATGATAGGGTGTCGTGATGGATGTCCTGTCATTTTTGCGCCTAACTTGATGACGCGTGTTCAATCTTGGCCCGGCAGCACCTGTTGATGGGGCAGGATTTCATGCAACTGAGGAGCTATGTGCACATGTGTGTGTGAAAGGGAGTGGATGGAAAAACAAGCTATAGACTGAAAAAAAAAAAAAAAAGAAAAGGCGACAGAGCCATCTGTACTTTGCAAAGGTCTGATGGCTCAGTGCCTCTGCAGTATGTGATCTGAATTTCACATCACTAATTGGAATTCGTCAACGTTGCCTAGAACTGCTTCAGCAAATTCAGTGATTTTTGCAGCGAATTGTCTTGAGAGCTCTACAGCTTGAAGGGCAATAAGAAACAAGTTTAAGAAATGAAAGAAAAACAGAACTTCCACAGTAAGTACAACCGTCTTGTTCTGTTTCCATCAATGTTGACTGATACATGAAAAAAAAAGTTTTAGAACATTTAGCATAAAAATGGTCCAACGCAGGAAATAATACAAAAATAGGAAAAGGGAAAAAAGCTCAAATTAACCTGGTCTATTTTCTCCCACTTGCTGACAACCTCTATCTTTAACTCAGATTAACCCCCATGCTGAAATAATTCCAGCCAATCATCATCATTCAAATGGAGCTATAGCAGCCAGTGGATGAAAATGTTGATGTTATATCTAAACATTCTCAGCTGGGTGGCACCGGTCACATTCTAAACACGTCAGCAGAACTCCCTACAATGACAATTCCCCTGTCAGCAGGACATCAGTGACAGGGCAAATTCACCAAAATAAATGTTTACATCCGTGAAATATCAGAAGGTATTTCTGGGTCTATATAAAATATACTAGTTCAAAAAGTGCAGCAAGAAGATTTGCCAAATTTGCATTAATTCCAATACACAAACCAGCCACAAGAGAGCACAAGTGTGGTCGCTAGTGGCTGCTCCCAAGAAAATGGAAATGACGAGGATTGTGTCGGGAAACATTTATCTAAACTAAGCTACCGTACTTGCCGCCGTACACATCGCACCGCTGTAAAAGTTGCATCAGTCCAAATATGTCTAATAAAGTGGAAAAAAAACAAATATGTGGCTTCGCCGTATAAGTCGCCTCTATTATGCGTCACCGCTGACAACACGGAAATGTGGGCCTGTGTTGTGCCAAAAATCGATTGGCTGCCAAATGGTGGCCACGGGAGCGTGCACAGGAGGAGTTTAACAATAATTTAACAAGACAAACACCTAAAAACAATTATTTGTTTGCTCAACATTAAAGTAAAGGTGTGTCTCAGTTGAATTTTTCCTTAATAAATGCACTTTGACGGTCAAATCCGCTGCATTTCGCCTGGGCGGCGCGATGAAATGCAGCTGATTTTAACGTTTGCTCCAGGAGTTCCGGAGCGAGACGAAGGTGGCTTGGTATGGCAAGCCAAGTGTCTCATTAATAGCCACTTTTACCTATTAATGAGGCAACTGGCTTGTCATATTACTCAAGCGCCCTCTAGAGGCTGAAAATGGTAGTGTTCAACATTTTCCATGTCAGAATGAATGAAATCGTCAAGTCTCAGCCAAAACTTGGTTTATAAATATGGGGGGAAAAAACAAAAAAACATACGTCGCTTCACTGTATGTTCTAGAATTGCGCTGCTCTGGGTGGCTGCATGTTGAAGTAGGTCTCTTACATTCATTCTGAGTTACTGCTTTTGAAAACTTTAATTCCTCTTTTTTCTGGATGTAAATCGCTTTTTTCGGATTGTTTCCTCTGGTATCGGATGCTGTGCAGCTGGAAGGATTTTTACTGAAACCTTTTTACTTTGGGGCATTTGTTATGGTGCATAACCATGGCAACAACGTGATTTTTTTTTTTTAACAACCAGGAGCAGCTGATTAACATCGCAAAGCTCAATAATATCTCAGCTACAGCCCCAAATCTCAAATGAGTTTAAAAGGAGGAGCCGTGGACCAATTCCCGTTAACCTGACGACGGTGCTCGAGTACCTGACCGCCGAGATCCTGGAGCTGGTGGGAAACACAGCTCGTGACATCAGGAGGACCGGGATCATCCCCTGGCACCTCCAGCTATCAGTCCGTGGTGACGAGGAGCTCGGCAGACTGCTGGGAGGAGTGACCATCGCTCAGAGAGGAATTCTGCCGGGTATTTGGGCAGTTCTGCTGCCCAGGAGGACTAAGAGGCCCACCGGATCTGACAGCAAGCTGGATCTGGGTGGACAGATTGGTATCTGTGGACAGATTCTTCAGATTTGCTGTAGGAGATCCTTCCTGCCCACAGATATCAGCATCTATAACATCTCTTGAATGAAACCAGGATGACGAGCTACAACACTCAATTTCCCTTTGGGATTAATAAAGTATTTTTGAATTGAACTGAATTGAATAGGTCACAAACATGCTAATTTATGCAAAAAGGTGTGACTTATACAGCGAAAAGTACGGTAAAATTGTTGTCAACATTAACATGACATCCGCTCTGATGCTTGTGCAGGGTCACCTCAGTTCATGCGAGTGCTCTCGCTGTGGCGACCCCTGCAGACGAAGCAGCCGAAAGAAAACACCATTGTTAGAAGCAAACACTCCAGGACACCACTAGACGCTTTCTGTATATGCCATGAATGGACGGCGCTGATTTGGTGACAAATGTGAGGACCTAGTCAATACTAAACAGGTGGTTTCCTACTTTTATAGCTGACTGGTGCAAAGGACAAACAAGTAACACACATACACTAACCTTTGGGGCAGAAGTGGTGTCCACAGTGGAGGAGGTGATGGCAGTGGAGGCTTCACTCACAGTGGTGCTGGAGAGCTGCTCAGCTGTGAGTTTGGACAGTATGTGAGCGCCCTGTGGCCTGCGCACACACACAAATAAGCACACAGAGAACACGGTCAATATTTAAAGGCATGTTCAGGAGGTAATAAATCAAACAGGAACAAAATATGGGGCCAGGCAGGAGCAGAAGGAGGACCATCTCAGTTTGACCATTAACATCTTTAAAATGTAAACTAAAATACACAAATAAAACCAGAACATTTGGGAATAGATCTTGAGGTTGATTACAATTAAAGAAAATTAAAATTTATTTCCTGGTCAACGTAAAGAAAAACATCAGCATAATGGTATGTCTCCTGACTTTGTATTCTAATGGTTCACACAAAAAAGCAACAATCAAGCAAATGATTTAAGTGTCTGGAGTATTTTTCTATATTACTGACTGGAAATAATTGTACAACAGGCTTCCGACATTTTCCGCTGAGCCTAGTGAATGATCTAACGATAGGATGTCCTATAAACAAGTATCTTGAAAAGTATCTTTTGGCTTGATCATTTCTTTCTTTTTGTTGGATCTGATGAAGTTTCAGAAACCTCACGTGACAAAGAGATTTAATAATAAAAGAGTGCTCAAGGCAGCAGACAATGTGACGCTACAGCAGAAAACATTGTAGCGCTAATCATTCCTAATGCAAATGAGGTTCTGCAGAAGAAAGTGGGTGACAAAAACACATTTTCAAAACGATGCATGCAAGTTTTTGACGTTTTGATTAAAACTCATCTACCTGTATGTATTGTATACTTGTTTCTTAAATTTAGCTCAAGGGGAAAAGAAAGAAAATGCATTTTAAGCGTAAGAGAGCAAATAAGCTAGAATTAGCTTTTTCTCTTTTTTGTTACTGAAGCTTTATGTAGAAGCACTAAAGCAGTCCAAGGCCAAACCAGCTCATACAAGCACAAACTGCATCATGTATTGTACGACAGAAAAAGACCGAATGACCGAGTCTCAAAAGCATCTTCACACTGATGCTCAATCCTCTAAACTCCACAGTTCAATGGTCTAATGAGTCATTATCTATGACTCAAAACAGAGGAAACAGTTGAAAGCTACTAAAGACAAACAAATTCAACATTTGATACTGAAACAAGTTTGAGATCAGACTTTTTATTTGCTCTTCAAGGGGTTATTTTCAATTCTCTGCCTCTCTAAACCAAACACACTGATTTATTTCCCAGGCTCACGGTGTTCTCAAACCAAATTCACCTTCATGAAATCCGCTAACCTGCTACAATAAAATATTGTTAAACATTCTTATCAACTTCTTATTACCTCCTTATAATTATTGTCGTTGTTAGTCACTTTAAGTTTTAGTTGTAAACTGGGCTTGGCAAAATCCAGGTCCAGTAGAATGTAAAAAAAGAAAGACAATATATAACTCTGTCCAACTGCACAGTGTAGTCTTTCTCATACATAAGTTAACTAACGTCTTCTCTTCTAAAAATATGTAGTCTCAGTTGTTCCACTTAAGTGTTGTATTCACAAAGCTAATGGATTATAATTAGAGCCCGACCGATATATCGGGAGGACCAATATCTTAGGCTGATATGGCGTTTGGGGACATAATGGTATCGGTGACAATTAGCCCATTATGCACCGATGTAAGCACTTCTAATTTAACCCTTAAAATGCTGGGAACAAACCGTATCCTTACTTGCAAAAGGCGCAATTATACAATGTACCCAGCAGAGGGGGCATATGGAGTACTTTCAAGTCATGGCCGTGCACCTTAACTTTCAGTTTCACGTTCAGCACAGCCGAAGCAGGGAGCAACACTGTGCAGCGTATTTTTGCTGAACAGAGCAGAGTAAAATAAATAAAAAATAATCAACAACAATAAATCCTCTTCAATCATCCAACCTGCTTGTTATTAGCTACGTGCCTCTCAAGTTAGCAAGCTAACGTTTAGCATAGGCTATTGCCTTGTAAAACTTTATCCAGAACAATAAATCTAATGTAGCAGTAAAATATCTCAGTGTTATTAGTAACGTTATCTTTGTCGTCCTCAATAAAATGCATCGTTTGTCCGAAATCTTTACTTGTCTGCAAAGAACAAAAACACACAGCTGCAATCAATACTAATTATAGACCTTCACCGTACGTGACTGACTGATTAAACAATGAACAGAAAGGGCGTTTCTTTGTTTCATTTATATTTTTGCAACACTTGATAACTTTATGGTGAATAGAGGATAGAAAATACGAACGCACGTTAGGAAGACTGTTTCAAGACTTCCAAATGTTAAAACAGATTAAAAAGTGGCTGTTTACTTACATTCTTGGGTGAGCTCAAAGATTTTCAGCCATGATATCGGTTATTGGCATTAGCCCCCTCCCAATATCAGTATCGGCAATAGCCAAAATTTCCATATCGGTCGGGTTGTAGTTATAATATGCATAAATATGTCCATCTAGTTTAGCAGGTGCAAGTAATTGCTCTCTTTTTGCAACAGATCTCAATCGTCCTCACTGTACAATCTAAAATTAGTATTTGTTACAAACATAGCTGCCAAAAAGTGACAGAAGGAGAAAAAAAAAATACTCACAGCCATTTAGATTTTAATGAGTGAAGTACAGGTCAGTCCTTAAAGCTGCATGAGCAACATATAGCTTTGCTGAGGAACAATCATGTTCAGGAAAGCATTTCTAAACCAATATGACTCATCGCAGTGCTCCAAGGAATAAAGCGCAAAACTAGATTTTTATAAAACATGATTAATAAATATCTTATCTACGGGTCTCTTGAATGATATGTCCGAAATATAATTGTAAAGAATGCTTCGAAGCACTTTTCTAAACAGTGCCAACAACAGACGTTGATTTTGAGCAGAGAAGCCTTTTTAACTGTGCGCTAGCTACGCTTGCTTTTCTTTTGGAAAAAAATCCCAATATCCAAATATTATCTGAAGTTTCCTCTATCAAATGACGTCCAGAAATCCTCCACAGAATGCCCCAAAAAAGAAGATTCGAACTGACTTTCCAGTGGTTAACCTGGTTATTAAGAATTCAACTATCTTATGAACTACTCGTAAAACCAGGATGATCAAAAGTTTGCTAAAATAGCCAGGAATTTAAAATACGTGCATAGTTAAAATAGACCATGTTCAACTTAATCCTCAGTTTGATATGATGGATTCTACGTGTGAATTGGGGCTAAATCAATATGCAAAGATTGAGACAGATGCAATAAAGGGGACTTGGATCCAATGATAAATATCTCAATATTACTTCAAGTTCAAGTATCTTTATTGTCATTCACATCACATGTACCTGTAGTACATAAGGTGGAATGAAATTATGTATTCAAGGTCCCAGTTACACCCAAAGTTAGCAAAAATATAAAGTAGAAAAAGCATAAGTATATAAGGATCTATGATATACACTAAGATATACGCTAAATGAACACCAAAAAAACCTTAAAAGATACACTAAACACTAATAATGTAAAATAATACAGTATATTAAACAGCAGCCTGACTTGAGTTTAAAGTTCAGCATTTTCAATGTAAAATGGGAACCAGATTTTATACAGTTTTTTGACTATCTACTATTTGTAGATGCAATAATGTCTGAAATCATCACCGAAATAGAGATAAATTATATTCTTCTGAACATGTCAGTCTTCGTTTTGTGAAGGCAGCCATGCATCAGTTTGCTCTGCTTCCTCCCTTTCTTTTCCTGAGCTAACATGACTAGTTTTCACAAAATGGTAAATATTTCACGCTAACTTCATGACACAAACAGTGTCGATGCTTGGGAATATAAAAAATTAAGCCCTGGCAGTAATTTATTTAAATATGGGCACGTTTTCATCCACATGTACAATATCTCATTTAAATGTGGACAAACTGTGTCAGTGCAGACGGACACTGTGTGGTCGGCAGCACAGTTTGAGGTGCACATTACCATTTGTACGGGCTCAAAGCGACGCGACCCGTAAATGAATCTCGCCCAAGCAACACAAATAACCAAGAATGAAAACAAACGTTTCATATCTGGAGGTTTTTGTGCTTTATAGTAAAAATAATAACAATTTAAATGAATCAAACGACACAATCTACTAAGTCGTAAATTTTCCTAAACACAACCAGCTGCACTTTATTTCTGTGCACGACACCAACCCTGTCATTAGGGCTTCTGTGTTTTGGTGAAACAGATGAGACTTTCATTTTTAGGTTTGCTTGTTTTTATTTTCTGTCAACATGCAGACACCAGGCCAAGTATGTCTCTAAATCTGTCACAATAGTTTCAAACTGGAAAACAAATGTTTGTGTAATGCAGCCCTCCACCAGAGGTTTCAAGATAAATACCCAGGGCTTTGACATGCACGCTCCCGTTATCCTAAAATGCCAATGCTTTTATTTCTCTCAACAGATTTGCCTGTCTGGGGGCCTTGGGCAAAGGCAAGGCTTTGTCTTAAGAGGAAAATATCCACTAAATTTGTCTGACTGGAATAAACTTCTGAAATATAATCAGGTTTTTGTTAGTAAGGCTGAAAACGTTAAGAGTCCTCTCAATAATCCTCATTAGCAGCTCCTTTCAGCAGATTTATAATGTAAATCTTTTATAAGTGATGTGACTAGGCCTGTCACAATAACAAATTTAGCTGGGCAATTAATTGTCTCAGAAATTATTACGATAAACGATAATATTGTTTGAAATTTGACAATAATTAGTAATGATTATATTAGTATTAGTATATTATTATATTGATTAAATTATATTAATTATTAATTATTAATTATTAATTATTAATTATTAATTATTAGTATATTATTATAATAATTAGTAATTATTGTCAAATTTAAGAAGAAATGTTGGTTGGTATATTTTTTCGACCACCGTATGGCAGTATCAGACTGTTTGAACCAAACAACGTGTCTCTTTAAGAAAAATGGGAGGGAGGTCCCATGACGTGACAAGGGCTGTCTCTCCTTCCTTTTTTCGGTTCTAAAAATGGCGGACGCTCGTTGTGGTTTTAACTCTTTAGCATTTTTCACACAAAGCTTTTAATAAAAAAA